GGGGGGGGCTCTATAATATGTATGGTATGCGTTTTCACACAATGCTGTCCTGTTTGTTTCAGGAGGAAACAAATATTCCCCTAATGAGGAGAGTCAAGCGCAGTCACAGAAAGGGAGAAGAACGAGTTGTATAGTGATCGCTGCAGTAGTTATTGGCTGCCTTTTGGTTGTTGCCCTTGTTCTCGGGGTTTATTTTGGATGTAAGTGAAAACAGCCTCACAAAGCATTTGACTATGATTGAAAATAACCCGAAAATTATCCAAAAATATAAAACTAAGAACAACCTGGTGTGAGAAATTCTGGTTCAAATAGACATTTTCATAGATGGGTGGGTACTAAGCTTAAATGGCCGACATCAGTCTCACTATTGACGCTGTACAATATGCTAGCTTTAAAAGTTGTTTTTTCTAACTTGGGACGAAACTAGATTTTTGTCTGATGCTATGTTTCAATGCATATGATAGATCTAGTGTAGACGTGTCTGTGCTACTGTTTTCAGCGACCAGCTTTACTATCAACGGATACAGGCTGGTGTTGACAACTGTTTTCAGTAATCTACAGATTTACAATGCTGTAATAAAATTTCCCTCTTGAGTTTGTTAGCCTTCGTCTGTTAACGTATTGCAGTCCTATAATGACTGCGCTGAGTGTACCCTGAACCCTGAAGTGAAAGACGAATTATGATGCAGACGTGCTGATCAACTATTGTAAACGATACACTGAAGTTTAAGTCTACGACTCTATCAAACAATGGGACAGTTTGTGCTTCGGTTCAATAAACGGTCCTCTTTTGTAAAGAATACTTTCGGGGAAAGCCAAGCTCTTTAGTGCTATACATGCATTTAGAATTCAGTTATTTTGACTCTTGAGCGATTGTTCTTGTCAGCATTATTTGGCTTAGGTCGAAGACCAGACAAGAGCGTTCTCACATACAGGACATAATTCAAGAAAATAACTCCTGATGCAGTGAAAAAACCCTCAAATCGAGGACTATTTACCGTTTTCACCTTCTCTTTCTTTTTCTCCCTCCTCTTTCTCTCTCTCTCTCTCTCTCTCTCTCACTCTCTCTTTCTCTCTCTCCCTCTATCGCCCTCTTTCTCTCTCTCTCACTCTTACTCTCTCCCTCTCTCTTTTTCTTTCTCTGCCCTTCTCTCTTTCTCTCTCTGTGCCTCTGCCTCTGTCAGTCTCTCTCTCTCTCTCTCTCTCTCTCTCTCTCTCTCTCTCTCTCTCTCTCTCTCTCTCTCTCTCTCTCTCGTTGCTAAAATTCTGTACCTCATAATAACAAGCAAGAGAGGTCATGTGTCTCTTGTTTTTGTTTTTCTCTAAGAATTGATTTAATACCAGAGAAGAGCTTAAAGATATGTACGTATCGCCTCCTACCTACCCTACCGACCGACCGACCGACCGACCGAACGACCCACCTACCTACCTACCTACCTACCTACCTACCTACCTACCTACCTACCTACCTACCCACCCACCCATCTACCTATCTATAGCACATTACATCTAAAGAATCCCAAACGTCAATACGTAGTCAAACATAAACTGCATTATAAGACTTTGAACATCTTGCTCACAGTGAAAGGATCTGATGAAAGCTCCCAGCCAGAATCTCAAGTACGAGGTCACCAGAACGGTAAATAAGACAGACTTCTCTTTTCTCCTTTCAAACTGTGGGTATCTGGGAAAAAACCCAACAAACTTTATTTATTTAATGAGACGTGCTTGCAAATTTCATTGCATAGTAGACAATGCGCCCCCTCCTTTTGGCTACTGATATTTTTAGATCTTATGTGCATGAAAAGACTACGTTTGTTGCCTGTTACTTTAAATCTCGTTTGATTTAAAATATGTTTTAAAAAGATTTCGATTGCAAGAATAGATACATGTAAACGATTTGAAAACGCCGTTCCTTTTGGTGTCGGTGTGATATCCAGCAAGTGCCTGCAAAATGGATACATGAATGTACGTACATGTGTTGCATTCATTGCAAAAATGTGTCATTGGTCGAATACATCCTTTTCTTGTTTTTAAATCAAAACACATCTGATTTTTTTTTCTCCAGGAACCAGATGGAATGATCTCAGTGGTAAGATGTTTTATTCGTGTATTTGTATCTTCCGAGTTCAATGCCACCCCCCGCCATCCCTAGATAGTAGAGAACAGAGTATTACAAACACTTACCAGACTACTAATAATGTCTTCATACGACACCAAAACAGAAAGCTTATGAAATGTATCACGCGGAATTCAGCAATAATAAACTTTATATTGTCATTGCGTTGCGTTTTTCTTTAGCTAGTACAATCCCCTTTACCAATGACTCACGAGAGGCAAAACCATAGCTTTAAAGAACCTTTCCCTATCGTCTACCCCTGTCCCCCTAAAAAACAACAAACAAACAAACAAACAAACAAACAAACAAACCACCTGGTTACTTATAAACTTTAACTGTAAGTATACGAAAGGCTATTCCACATTTGTACGAACTTAACTTTGTTATCCAATTTTTCAACAGTACAAATCTCCCAATAAATCTGCTCCCCTGTAATCTATCAGCATAAAGTAAACATCAAACTCAGTATAAATGAATGATCCATGCTATTAATATTAAAAATCCCACACAGTTTGATTATTTCATAGATCAGTAGTTTTAAAAAATGAAAACGACAAAATAACCATTTAATAGTCCCTCATTGTATAATTTCATCTACATGAATTGGTAGACAGACTAATTTTCAAACACACACACAGACACACACACACACGCGCGCACACACA